CAATATTTCTTTATGATTTTTTAAAGATAAAATTTACTTACACGAAATATAAGAATCATGTGTTCTATTGGATGAGTTTTGATAACTGACATAACCAAAGCCTCTGTCAAGAGGTTTCTATCATATCAGAGAATTCCTCTTTGCAGGTAATCCCCATCAGAAGTTGTCACTGTTCTTGGGGGCTGGGAGGTTGGGGGAACAAGGTGGTGGGTATTAGGGAGGGCACGTATTGCATAGAGCACTGGGTGTGGTGCAAAAACAATGAATACTGTTACACTGAAAAGAAATAAAGAAGTTGTCATTGTTCTTATTTATTGTGATAGATTAGTTGTGCACATTTTAGTAATTCATATAAATGAGATTACACAATACTTTCTCTTTAACATAAAGCTCTCTCTGCATGGTTCATCCTGTTGCTTGTATCAATACCTTATTCCTTTTTATTGCTGAGTAACACTCCTTTGTATGGATAGACCACAGTTTGTTTATACAGTTTTGTGTTGATAGATACCCGAGCCATTTCTAGTTTAGGTTATTATGAATAAAACTGCTATAGACATTCTTGTATAATTATATTTTGAATATATATGTATGTGTATATATATATGTATATATACATATATGTATATATGAATGCAGAGATCTATCAGCAGGGAATGGTAAATGTCTAGGAATGGAATTTCTGGGTCATAGTATAGGTATATGTTTTGTTTTATGTGAAACTGCCATATTTTTGTACCATTTTCCTCTCCCACCAACATCCTTATAGACATTTGGCGGGGTCTGTCTTATTGTTAACCATTCTGGTGGGTGTGAAGTGGTACCTCACTGTAGTTTTTATTTGCATTTCCTTAATGACTAATGATGTTGAGCATCTTTTCATGTGCTATTGGCTGCTTGTATATCTTCCTTTGGAAACAGTCTATTCAAATATTTTGCCCATTTTTTTACTGTGGTAAAATATACATAACAACATGTATCACTTTAGTGATTTCTAAGTGTACAGTTCAAATGTACAGCATTAACTACATTCACATTTTTATGCAACAATCACCCCTATTCATCTCCACAACTTTTTCATTTTCCCCAAACTGAAACTTGTATTATACTCGTTAAGCAATTCCGCATTGCTGTCTTGCAGCAGGGAGCAGTAAGTATCTAGGAATGGAATTTCTGGGCCATAGTATAAGTGTGTGTTGGCCTTTTATGTCTGGCTTCTTTCACTTAGCATAATGTTTTCAAGGGTCATCCATGTTGTACTGTATATCAATACTTTTCTCCTTATTAGGGCTGAATAATATTTCATTGTAAATATATACCACATTTTGTTTATTGGTTCATCAGTTGATGGCATTAGGGTTGTTTCCACCTTTCTGCTGTTGTGTATAGTGCGTCTATGAGTATCCTTGTGCAAATTTTTGTTTAAATACCTGTTTTCAATTCTTTTGGATATATACCTGGGAGTGGAATTGCCAGGTCATGTGGTAATCGAATATTTAACTTATTGAGGTCCTGCCAAACTTTTCCACAGTGGCTGCCCATTTTATATTCCCGTGAGCAATATATGAGGGTTCCAGTTTCTCCACATCCTTACCATTTTCCATTTCTAAAGTTATAGCCATCCTAGTGAATGTGAAGTAGATTATTATTCAGTTATAAATAGAAATGAAGTACTGGTACATGCTGTAACATTGATGAACCTTGAAAAAATTATGCTAAGTGAAAGAAGCCAGACACCAGAGACCATTATTGTATTATTATGTTTATATGAAACGTCCAGAATAGGCAAATCTTTAGAGACAGGAAGTAGAATTGTGGTTGCTGGGGAACATGTGTTGAGGAGAATGGGGAGTGTTTGCTTAATGGGCACAGTGTCTTTTTGGGGTGATGAAAATGTTCTGGGATTAGATACTGATGGTTGCAAAACTTTGTGAAGATACTACAAATCATTGAATTGTATACTTTAAAAGGGTGAATTTTATGATATGTGAATTAAATCTCAATTTTAAAAAGCACAAATACTCATTTTAGGCCTGGAGGTAAGATTCAATGTCTGTTGACTATAACTCACTCTCTGGTATAATTTCTATGTCAGGGTTTTTTAGCTGCAGGCAATAGAACTTGGTTTTGAGTAACTTAGGCAAAAATATGGATTTTTGGAAGACTATTGGAGTTGATCAAAACCAAAGGAAATGGTGAAAAACAAGGCCTCAGGGAGGTCCAGAACTAATGAAGCTTGGAGTATTTGGGTAGCAGAACCTCAGTCCTTATAAGTCTCCACTCAGATTTTTAAATTCAGGGACGGAGAATCTGATTTTTCCACTAAGAGAGATAGGGCTTCTTTTCAGAACACAGATCAGTGGACGAATGCTGGACAAACCAAATAAAAACTACCAAAGGAGGTAAGAAGAAGATGGACATCTATATCCAAGTGGAGATGTTGAATAAGCCTTCAGATGTATAAATGTAGATTGCAGAGTAGAGAGCTAGACTGGGGTAAATAATCAGAGGTTGTAAGGATGATTGAAATAATGGGCATGGTTCAAATTTCCCAGGAAGAGAGTAAGTGGCCATGCATCCCTCCAGCATCATATCTGAGGGCCAGAACACTTCTTGGAGCAGTTTGTAACCAGAGGATTGTTTCTTGGTTTTGGAGGACATGATATTCCTAGTAATTGGGAAAAGAGTCCAGGGTATGGGACTATAACGCTCTGCTGAACATTCCATCTTGTAAGAATGAAGCTGTTATGTGGAGATTTTAATGGAATGTAACTTCTTGCTGCCAGTTATAATAAATGCCAGCTTATTTTCCCTCTCATATTTATTTATATTGCATTTGGCCTCTGCTAAATGTTTTATGTATGTCATTTTATTTAATCCTCACAACACATTAATGAAGTTATTATTATCACCATATTTTACAGATGGGCTACTGTAGTCTCAGAGTTTAAGCAATTTACTTAACATATTGCTAGAAAGCAGTGGAAATGGAATTTAAGTATGGTCTACATGAGTTCAAAGACATTTCTACTCCGTATCAAATGATATAGCAATACCAATATTAGCTATGGTTTAGGACTATTGAGCTTCTGCTGTGTACCACGTAGTGTATTGAAGACTTCATATGCATTATCTCATTTAGTGTTCATAATAAACTTATAAGGAAAGTACTGTTGTTATTCCTATTTAACAGTTGAGGAGTCTGAGGTTTAGAGATGTTAATTCAATGGTTGTCACATAGTAAGTGGTAGAGTCAGGGCTTTAACACTTCTGTTTGATTCCAAAGCCTGTGTGCATCACGAATACACTGTCCTCCATCAAAAATAACTGAATCTTAGAACAGTGGCTCTCTTCCCTGGCTGAGTGTTAGAATCACTTGGGGAGCTTTAAAAAAAACATCGATGCCAAACCTCATCATCAAAGATTCTGATTTAATTTATCAGGAATGCAGACTAGGCCTTGGATTTCTTTTTTTAAAATATTTTATTTATTTATTTGACAGAGATCACAAGTAGGTAGAGAGGCAGGCAGAGAGAGAGGAGGAAGCAGACTCCCTGCAGAGCAGAGAGCCTGATGCGGGGCTCAATCCCAGGACCCTGGGATCATGACCTGAGCCAAAGGCAGAGGCTTTAACCCACTGAGCCACCCAGGCGCCCCGCCTTGGATTTCTTTTAAAAAAGCTTTTATTCATTCACCCAACTTATTCAATAAACATTTAATGTCTCCTGTATGCTAAACAATTTCTAGGCATTTACTTCCTAGCAAGATGTATCAGTTAGCTATTGTCACAATGATACATAACAACAATTATAAAATCTTAGTGGCATGAAAAATTGAGAACTTATTAAGCACTTATTCTTACATTTCTGGAGCCCAGCCAGGATTCAACTGATTAAGCAGAGCTTTTTTTGGCAACTGATTTAGGCTGGAGTGACTACTTTAATTGCTTCAGGATGGTGAGTAAACTGGTGTGGCTCTGCTTCATGCATTTCTCCTTAGACCACTGGACTAGCTGGCACTTGTGTCTCTCATGCCTCATCTTATGCCAGTGGTAGAATCAGGAGGGGATGTGTCCAACTGTGCAAGTGTATTTCAAGCCCCTGCTTGAGTCACATCTGTGTATATTTCATTAGCCAAAGCAAGTCTGAAGACCGAGCTCAAGGACAAGAGGTGGGGGGAAAAGCCTCACTTCTGGTGTGTGGACTTGCAAAGTTCATGGCAAAGGCTGAGAATTGGGGCCAATAATTCAATTTAGGTGGGAACGAATAAAAATGAACAATAAGCGGAATCATAAGAAAATTACCAAGTGTGTTAGAAAGTGATAAGTAATAGGGAAAAAAATTCTAGAGGGTGATGTGAAGGTGATTTTAATGTGCAGGTGGGACTGAGAACCACTGATCTTGTAGTGTTCAACCTGGAAAGAAGCCTGGGCTAACATTCCCTCAGCCATTGGGAAAACAACAAAACAGACCCAGAAAGTAGAAGAATCTTACTCAAGGTCCATAAGACCGTAGCTATAGAAATGGAACTAGGGCCTGTCTCCTAACACTATAAACTGTTTCTCTTATACCACAGTATTCTAATCTATGGTCTTAGAATTCCTTACTAATGGCACCAAAAATATGTTATGGAAAGACACAGTCATTCTTTTTTATCTCGACCATAGACATTAGAGGTGTACGTCTAAATCCTGTGCTTCCTTTAGTAACCCAATTCAGAACCCAATTTCACATTTCCCATATTTGTACTGTTCAAAAGTTTACAGACATTCTACCCTCTTTTAGTGTTTCTCCTCTTCATGTTAAAGACTGTTAGTTTTGATCTATTTTCATGTGATCCCGTAGTCCCACCCAAGCAAGCTACTTGCTTATTGGGCCTTCTTTCTTCCCCAGCTCTGTAATGCCTTGAGTAGTCTTTCTTGAATTCTTTTACTTTGAGCTTCCTCTAGGCCTTTCAGTCATCATTTCTGTTTTGGATTACAGTCTTCCTGATTTGCCAGAATGAACAGTTGAAAGAAAAGAAAAGATATGGAACCTGCTTGTACTTGGAGTTTATTGTCTGAACAGAAAGGTAAGTAACTGAATGAGGTAAGAGAGGGTATAATCTAGATAATCCTGATTCTTTTTCTCCTACTTCTCCTCATGGACGTTGGGAATTTATTTTGAATCTTTAACATTGTTTTGCATGTGTATAGGTATATATATATTGAGATATTACATGGATACAGTATTTACCCATTAATAATCTCTTAAAAATATCTCCACAATTTTTGTGTTTTACAACGTGAGGAAAAAGAAAAGAGAAGAGGCAACTGTGATTTCTACTGTTTTCCACAATCCCCAAAGCATTTCTAATCCTAAAAGACTCAAGTCTCTCCCTTCAGTGTAACCACAGATTTTCACAGGAGAAAGCAAAAAAGAGCAAAGAATGAAGATTGCTGGAGTCCTTCCCCTTGTGGCTGATTCCTGAGCTCCAAGGAATATTTTAGTTGTGGGGAATAGAAACTGGTTATCTTCAACAGACCACTCACTTGCCTGCCCGTTTCTGTGACATTCTAATATCTGCCTTTCCAGACTCTGCTTCCTCCTATCCACCTAACCACACCTTCTCCCAAGTATAAGTCTCACTCTTGCTTTTAAAGGTATGCAAGTACTAAAAACCTGTAGAAATGAGGCTGTGCATGCGTGCATGTGTGTATGCATGCACATGTGCCTGTATTTGTGTATTTCTGTCTATATACCTATATATGTAAGTGCTTGGGTTGAGTGTATGTGTATGTGTATTCAAATTGTAGATCATGTTTACACCTGTCACACTAACTCAGCAATGCCTTATTTCTCATTAAAAAGTTAAGCTCAGCAAAAGCTCCAGCAGAAGCAATAGGCTAATGCTCAGTGGAAAGCAAAATATCAGAAACAGTCACTTCAAATAATGTATGCCCCAGGGGTGCCTGGGCGGGTTAAGGCCTCTGCCTTCGGCTCCGGTCGTGATCCCAGGGTCCTGGGATTGAGCCCCGCGTCAGGCTTTCTGCTCAGCAGGGAGCCTGCTTTCTCCTCTCTCTCTGCCTGCTTCTCTGTCTACTTGTGATCTCCGTATGTCAAATAAATAAATAAAATCTTAAAAAAAGTATGCCCCTTTAAGTTAATGCCTAAACTTTCCCTTACAGAGCATGTAAATGTAAATGTTTACACCCAAAATATATGTGTGTGTGAAGGTCTCACATTAGTTATAAAATAATTTTGTGGGTGAATTGGAATAGATGTGAGGCAACTTTCTTGTATTTCTGTCTGGGGAACAGCATGAATGGCTATAACAGTGTGACTAAATATCTGTATATTTTGTGTTTTGATATGAAGTTCTATTTGTGCTACTCTTAATCCTAACTCTTTCCTCCCATAGCTGCTTCAAATTCTCAGGCTCCATATTCATGGAAGGATCTCACAGGTAGATGTTTTCTCTCTTCTAGTGTCTTTTTGTTTTATGAAAAGTACGTCCTATAAGCCTGGCTTCTCATCTGCATTCCATTCCCATCTCTTTCCCCATATTCATTGGATAGCAACCATTGATTTCTTTTTTTGGTAATATCTATGAAATCCCAAGCTGTCATAACAAATAGTATATATCATATACTAGCAGGACCACTGATGGTGGTCAGGCACCATATGTCCAGAGCTTTATGGCTAGAACAGACCTGTCTGCTTCTGGAGTGATCTAAATTGAGGCCAACAAGTTACAGCCAGTGGGCCAAATCAAGCCAGAGGTCATTTTTGTAAATAAAGTTTTACTAGAACCAGCTATGCCCACTTATTTACATATTGTCTATGGCTACCTTCAAGCTAAGATGGCAGAGTTGAATAACTGCAACAAAGACCCAAAAGCCTAAACTATTTACAGAATTTTATAGAGGAAGTTTGCCAGCACTTACCTGGATTAGCATTCCCCAAGCTGTTCTACAGAGCACTGTTTTCTGGGAGATAATAACTTCGCTCTTAGGAAAGGGTTCTATAGTCATTTAAGACCAGAAAATGCTGGATTAAACCAAGTTGAACAGCCTTTTTTCCCCTTCTTTACTGTAGGCCATTTTAGATCCTTTCACATGCTAACATGCATGGGGAAGCTAAAAGGAGACAAAGCATGCATTCCCCTTAACTTATTTGACCACTGGGTATCTTTTCCACAGCTCTCTTATTGATATCTTGCAAAATAGTGTTCCAAGGAACAGTTATTTGGGAAATGCTAGTTTAGACATTCACTTAACAGAAGTTTGAACTTGATAACTGACTCCTTGGATTATTTTTTCTAGTTGTAGAAAGTGAAAAGCTATGTAGTATGGTATTTAAGCATATAGACCATGGCTTTAGACAAATCTGAATCTTAATTTAGTCTCTACCATTTACTAGCTGTTAAACCTTGGACAAATTATCTAAAGCAATAAGCAGGACTGGCTACATAATTGGTGGGCTGTGGTGCAAAATGAAAAGGCAGGACCCCTTATTCAAAAGTATTCAGAATTTCAAGATAGCAACAGCAGAACAATACACCGATGGCTCCTTCTGAGCAGGAGACCCATGCACAGATTGTACACCCATGAACTCATAACCCTGGTTATAAATTTCAGTGTTCTCAATATAAAATGTGGACAATACCTACTTCATGGGATTATGGTAAGAATTAAATCAGAAATGTATATAAAGAGCCTAGTAAGGTGCCTGGCACAGAATAGGCAGTAATAAGTGACTTGTTTTTAATTCAAAAGCATTTATAGCCATATTTAATAATTACTTGTTGAGTGTCTACTATGTGCCAGGCCCTATGCTAGGTACTTAAGGTATTATGGCGAAGAATTACAAATAAGGTCCCTGTCTTCATGTAGATTATTATTGTTCAGTGGGAAAGACAACTATAAATTGTGATAAAATTGTGATATAAACAAGACAACCATAAATTGTGATAAGAGCTATGAAGAGAAAAACAGCATGCTGGGAAAGGAGATAATAGAGAAGATCTGCTTTAAATTGAGTGGTCAGGCAAGTACTCTTCGAGGAAGTAATGTTTAAGTTGAGATCTGAAGGATGAGAAAAAGCTCTCCATGAAAGAGCAGGAAGAGTATTCTAGGCAGAGAGAATAGCTAATGGAAAGACCCTTAAGTGGGGAAGAACATGGCATTTGTGAGAAACCGAAAGCAGGCTAATGTGGCTTGAGTGTAATGACTGAGAAGAAGAGTGATTCATGGTACACCTTGTGAGATAAGCTAAGAGTTTTAGATTTCATATGAAGTACAATGAAAAGCTCTTGAAAGATTTTGGGCACGGCAGTCATATGACGTAACTGGTATTTTTAGAAGATCATGTTGCCTGCTGTGTGGAGGGGAGCCGTAGATAAGCTAGAGTAGATGAGTAGGAGGGTATTTTAGCAGTCCAGAGAAGAGTGGGTAGTGCCTTGTACTTGGGTGGTATTTGAGGATGTAGTGATAAATAAATGAGCTGGAGGCTTATTTTGGAGGTATAAATAATAGGCCTTGCTAACTGACTGAATGAGGACGATTCAAGAGGAGGAAAAGAATGAATGACTCCTGACATTTTTCTGGGCAAATTGGTGGCACCATTTAACTGAGATGAGGTACCTGGGGAGGGCTTTTTTTTTTGAGGGGGGCAACCATGTAGAAATCAAGAGCTCAGGTTTAGATACGTAAAATTGGAGGACCCTCTAAGACGTCCAAGTGGAAAGGGTGGTATGAGTTACAGTTGTTTGTTTGTAACAGATTGTCTCAGATTCTGTGATTACTAACTCTTGGTGTCACCACATTAGATTACCAGGAAATATTTAGAAAACATCTAAAAGAAAAATACCTCAACATAGGAGTCCATATATGTTACCACCATGGCAAACATATAGAATCACGAATGCTTGTTGTAAAAGAACATGGTATATCAGAAGAGACACTGTGTGGGATTCCTCAACAAGATAGTTTTATGGATATGGAACATGTATTTGATCCAGATGAAGAGGGCTACAGCTCCCCCTGAACCTGTGGTGCTCCAGGGATGTGCAGGGACTGGGAAAACAGCTGTTGTGCACAAGTTCATGTTTGACTGGGCAGCAGGAATGGTTACTCCAGGCAGGTGTGACTATCTCATCTATATAAACTGTAGAGAAATAAACTATATCGGTAACCTGACAATTTCAATAAACATATTGCTAAATATATTAATAATAAACATATTGCTAACCTGAAGAATGACAGTTATGAGTTAATGCTAACTCAGTGCTGCTGACCTGATCCTTAACACTTTTCAAGATAAAGATGGACCAATCCTAGATGCTATTCTTGTATATCTGGAGAAGCTTCTGTTTATGCTCGATGGATTCCCTGAGCTTCAGTACCCTGTAGGTAACCAGGAAGAGGATCTTAGTGCTAATCTTCAGGAGAAGAAGACAGTAGAGACCCTCTTATATAGTTTTGTGAAGAAAAAGCTGTTCCCTGAATCTCCCCTGCTGATAACTGCCCGGTCTACAACCATGAGGAAGTTCCACACTCTGTTAAAACAGCCCATCCAGGTAGAGATTGTATGGTTTACAGATGCTGAAAAGAGAGCATATTTCTTGAGTCCGCTTTCAGGTGCTTATGCAGCACTGAGGCTCTTTTATGAGCTGTGACAAAATGAAAGCCTTGACATTATGTCCTCTCTTCCCATCATCTCCTGGATGATCTGCAGTGTCCTGCAGTCACAGGGAGATGGTGACAGGACTCTTATGAGGTCACTTCAGACCATGACTGCTGTGTATCTGTTCTACTTTTCCAAGTGCCTCAGAACCCTTGCAGGCATCTCAGTATGGAAGGGACAAAGTTGCCTGTGGGGCCTCTGCTCTTTGGCTACAGAGGGACTGCAGAACCAGCAGGTCCTATTTGAAGTCAGTGACCTCAGGAGACATGGGATAGGAGTACATGATATCAATTGTACTTTTCTAAATCACTTTTTGAAAAAAAAAATGTAACGGTCAATGTCTACATTTTCCTTCACTTCAGTTTCCAAGAGTTCTTGACTGCTGTGTTCTATGACCTGAAGAATGACAGCAGCTGGATGTTTTTTGATCAAGTGGGGAAAACGTGGCAAGAAATATTCCAACAATATGGACATGGGTTTTCATCACTAACAATACAGTTCTTATTTGGCCTCCTACATAAAGGAAAGGGAAAGGCCATGGAAACTACTTTTGGAAGAAAAGTCTCTCTAGGACTTCGAGAGGAGTTATTGAAGTGGACTGAGAAAGAAATAAAGGATAAATCTTCTAGGTTACAGATTGATCCAATGGACTTGTTTCACTGTATGAGATTCAGGAAGAAGAATATGTATAAAAGGATAACTGATGATTTACAGTCAATTATATTGCTTCAATACCTATACAAAAATGGACATTCTGGCTATGTCATTCTGTGTCAAAAGCAGTCACAGTCACCTGTCAGTGTCTCTGAAGTGTCAGCACCTACTTGGATTTGAAGAGGAAGAGTGAGCTTCTGCATTCATGCCACTAGCCTTGACACTTCATCAGTGAGTATATTAATGTCTTTTCTCCAATGTTTTGGCCTTCAGAAACAATGGGCATTCTTGTTATTTTCAAGTATTCAGGCACACCATCATTTTTTAGCGTTACCAATAAATAAAGTGAATCATCTCCACTTCCCATATTTTATGTCAGTCACCCCAATAAGGATTTATTGAATATCTATCACATATTGAATGCTAGCCTAGGTAGACAATGAGGGAGAGTTAACATTTCTGAGCGCTTACTATGTGCCAGGCATGGTGCTAATCACTTCAAGTGTGTGTATGTGTTTTAGTCTTCACTGTAACTTTGTGAATGTGCTCTCTAGTTATAAAGTGTTATGAGCATGTGAGTCATCAAGATTACCATTGAGGACTCTGCTATTTGGGTGTTGATGACTATTCGAAGAAAGGTGGTAAACTTAACATTGAATTGGTCATCACTCTCTTCTACATATACTTCATCATTGACACCTCAAAGAGCTCCAGGGTGGTAAGAGTCAGAACTGCACTCCTGTGTATATTGCTGTAAAGCCTGGACTTTTTCCATCAGGCTTGCACCTTCACAGAGGGTCCAGAGATTTGCACCTTTACAAAGAGTTCAAAGAGGCTTAGGTAAACCATTTAAATAATACAAATTCTGTATACTAAAAACAGAGTTCTACTGACTTACTGACTAATGCAGCCAAGAAGATTTATACTTGTGTTATCTAGAAAATGCCACTGGTTATAAGCCTGTTCTCAATACTTGGGTTAAGATGGACATAGCTGGGGTGCCTGGGTGACTCAGTTGGTTAAGCATCTGACTCTTGATTTCCACTCAGGTCATGATCTCAGGGTTGTGAGATCGAGCCCCATGTCGGGATCTGTGCTGAATGTGGAGCCGGCTTAAGATTCTCTTTCCCTCTGCCCACCCCCGCCCTTGTTTTTTAAATCTCTCTCTCTCAAAAATAAAAAAAAGGACATTGTAATCCTTTAGTTGTGGGACCAGTTGATGGGTAGGAGACCTTGAGAAGAAGAGAGTGGGCAGAAATCTGTACTTGGGGAGTGAGTTAATCCAAGTCTTTTCTCTGATAATTGTATTTCCTCATTGGGCAGTAGCATGGAGATAGAAGTGAGCGTGGGATATGTGTGTTTGAGGGAGGTGGGAAGGGGAAGGTAAGTGCAGCAAAAGTTGTGTTTGGGATTAGAGTGGAAGGAGTAGGAGAAGTTACATGGACTTAGAATTACCAAGGACCTTCGCTAGTGTCTTGACAAATTCATGACAGTTTCAATCCAGATGTATATTGTAAAGTAAAATAATGGACATATATAATGAGAATTTTTAAACATGGATGGGAACAAAGAGAGGCTTCTTGTTCATTCTAGGTTTTCAGAAAATCAGCCTTAAATGAAGTTCCTATCTTGACCCTATTGCCTTTATCAGAAGGTTAAACTTTCTTCAGAGGTTAACCCAAAATATTCCTTTTTAAAAAGATTTTATTTATTTATTTGACAGAGAGACAGATCACAAGTAGGCAGAGAGGCAGGCAGAGAGAGAGAGGGAAGCAGGCTCCCTGCTGAGCAGATTGCCTGATGCGGGACTCCATCCCAGGACCCTGGGATCATGACCTGAGCCGAAGGCAGAGGCTTTAACCCACTGAGCCACCCAGGCACCCCAACCCAAAATATTCCTAAAGGTGTTGACTGAGAGTTTACTATTGACCTTTTTAAAAATTATTATGTTATGTTAGTCACCATACAGTATATCATGAATTTTTGATGTAGTGTTCCATGATTCTTTGTTAGCGTATAACATCAAGTGCTCCATGCAGTACGTGCCTTACTTAATACTATCACTGGGCTCACCCATTCCCTTACCCCGCTCCCCTCTAAAACCCTCAGTTTGTTTCTCAGAGTTCATAGTCTCTGACGGTTTATCTCCCCTCGTCTTCCCCCCCCTTCATTTTTCCCTTCCTTCTCCTAATGTCCTCCACGCTATTCCTTTTTTTTTTTTTAAAGATTTTTATTTATTTGACAGAGAGAGAGAGATCACAAGTAGGCAAAGAGGCAGGGTGGGGAGCAGGCTCCCTGCTGAGCAGAGAGCCTGATGTGGAGCTCGATTCCAGGACCCTGAGATCATGACCTGAGCCCAAGGCAGAGGCTTAACCCACTGAGCCACCCAGATGCCACCACGCTATTCCTTTTGTTCCACAAATAAGTAAAACCGTATGATAATATTTCTAGTTTTTTTTTGTTCAAGTATAATTAACATACAGTGTTCTATTAGTTTCAGGTGTACTGTATAGTGATTCAATAATTATACACATTTCTCAGTGCTTGTTAAGATAAATTTACTCTTAATCCCCTTTATCTATTTCACCCATCTCCTACCCACCTCCCCTCTGGCAACCACCAATTTGTTCTATTTAAGAGTCTGTTTTTGTTTTTATTTCTCCATTTGTTTTATTTCTTAAATTCCACATATGAGTGTAATTGTGTGGTATTTGTCTTTGACTGTTTGCTTTCACTTAGCATAATACCCTCTAGGTCCATCCATGTTGTTGAAAAATGGCAAGATTTCATTCTTTTTATGGCTGAGTAATATTCCATTGCATATATTTGCCACATCTTCTTTATCTATCCATCTATTGACGGACACTTGGGTTGCTTCCATAATATGGTTGTTGTTAATAATTGCTCTAAACATATGGGTGCATATATATTTTTGAGTTAGTGTTTTTGTTTTCTTCAGGTGTTCGTCAAAAAATTAAAAATAAGGGAGCCTGGGAGGCTCCGTCGTTAAGCTTCTGCCTTTAGCTCAGGTCATGATCCCAGGGTCCTGGGATCGAGCCCCACATCGGGCTCCCCACTCAGTGGGGAGCCTACTTCTCCCTCTCCCTCTGCCTGCTGCTCCCCCTACTTATGCTATTTTCCTGTCAAATAAAATCTTTTAAAAATTTATTAAAAATTATTTATTTAAAATAAATAAAATAATTATTTATTAAAAAATTAAAAATAAAAGTACCATATGAACTTTCTCATTTTCAATTATTGTTAATTCTTCTATTAGTACTGACAACCAAGAAATTGTTATATCATAAAGAAAGCTGGGGCAAGTCACTTGACTTCTGAGCATCTGCAAAATGGTGATTAAAATATCCATCATTGTGTTGAGGACCAGATAAGATGATTTGTATACATAAAGTGCTTACCTTGGTGCCTGGCACACAGTAACATGGCTTGGGCTTTAAAGTCAGACAGGCCTGAATGCTGGCCTCTGTTCTGTTCCTACCTATGTGACCTTAGGCAAATACCTTAAATTTTTTGTGCCTTAATTTCCTTATCTGAAAAATGGGGTAATACTTAAGGCTTTTGGAAGAGGTAAATGAATACTAGTGTGATGATGGAAGCCAAAATTAGCCTTTTACTTAAAATTTTGTTTTTAACTCTCTTGTTTTAAATTATTTTTCCTTTTTCATCTCTTTTAGGTCCTTCCAGCTGTGCAGTTTGCCAGTGTCTCGTCTACAATTGCTCTGCCAAGCACTGTATAATCCATACTGTAAAATCAAAGACCTGAAGTAAGTTGAACTTTGCTTTAAACACTTAGGTATTTGCAAGGTAAAGATGGGGTTGCTAGAAATTGCACTGATTGGACCTGAAAACAAGATGCAACTAGTGCTCAGCTTCTCCGTAGCGGAATAGCAAATGATAAGAGGGCCTACGAGCCTAGAAGGGGTAGAGAGTCAGGCACAGATCTTTGCCAGCCCCTCCAGCCTCTTCCCCTTTTGGATATGCTATTTTTGCTGCAGGAGTAGGTGGCAGATTAAAACATCTAAGAGGTCTGTGTCTGGAGCCCCTCTTGGGCCTACCCCCTTCTCCTTCCAGATTCTCATTGTCGTCCTCCTTGGTTTTCTTTGTTGGATCCTATCCTACTCCGTGCAGCTCAATGATCCTTTTCTCTCCCTCCTTGTCTCCCCCCTACCCTGTCTGCTGTAGCTACTCCCTAAAGTTCCATTGCTCAGAAGCTCCCCACCCCAGCCCTTGACTTTATTTCTTGCTCACTCTACAGTGTCTTGTCAGTCCACACCAGCAGCACACAGGCACAAGCCCCTTTGTTTCCAAACTCCTCACTGCACAGATCCGTGTCTGTTCTCCTTCCCTCATGCCTCAGAGGACGAGGCAGCCTTTCCAATCCTACCCGAGCCAGTAAATTCACTCCTTTTTAAAATTTTTGTAATCATTTAATTATTTCACTTTACACAACACAGAAGTACATAACAATCTAAAACTCCCTCCACCCAACTGTCCCAGACCCCACCCCAGTTTATATCCCCAGCACCCCATCCTCCTCCTTACCATGCCCTGACCCTGAGCTTATCCTCCCTACGTAATACCTTGTTTGCTAAATGTCTTTCCAGACCTTTTTCTATGCTTTTTCAAACATCAATCTATAATGTAAGGCACACGTAAATCTGTAACATACATATCATACACATGCAGAGTTCTAGAACTTTGGGGGTTTTGTTTCACACACAAAAAACCAGCTGTCAATTTTATTTCATTTAATAGTACAGTGGACATGCTTCCAATACAGTATGCAGGGTCTATCTCCATTTACACATTGTATTTTCAAGCTTTCTTCAGCTGTCTCCCTCCCCATGGTTCAAGTTTCTCCCATATTCCAAAGAACCCTCTCTCTCAGCCCTGTATCCTACCCCACTCCTTTCTTTCACAGCCAGAAGTGAAGAGCTCCCCCATACTTCCTTGTTTCCTATTTACTCCCCAGTCCTTGTGGTTTGGCTTCTGCTCTTCCCCAGCCCAGATCTGCTCAAAGATCAATAGTGAATACCAGACCCAATGAGCACTTTTTACCTCCTATCTTAAGGCTTCCCCTGCAGCCCCGAGCACTGCAGAGTATGATCTCCTTGCTGCTCTCTCCCCTACCCCCCATTCTGACTACTCCCAAGGACCTCCCTGCCTCCATGGTTCCCGAACAGTGGCAGTTGTGCTCTCCAGTGGATGTGTGACAATATCTGGAGACATTTTTGGCTGTCACAGCTAGGGGGTAGAGTGAGGCACCTAAGGGGTAGAGGCCGAGAATTCTGCCAAACATCCTACAGTGTACTGGACAGCCTCCTACAACAAAGAATTATTCACTCTCAGCTGTCAAGAGTGCCCTAGAAAAATATAAACGAGCCCAGAGATATTTCTGAAAATGCAGGTTAGGGATCTTACCCCAAACTGTGATGGTTGTCCACACCTGCCCCAAAAGGGGACAGCACAGAGTCACAGCCAGCTGCTGTAGAGATGTCCCAGGGCCATGACAGCTTCAGGCTCTAGGTCAGTAGAGTCCCTGGGTAATATCCAGGGTTCCTCTGGTTGTCTTACTATGGTCCAGGTGAGACACCTCACCATCTTTCCATCTGTGGGCTAAACCTTACGTTTAGTCTCCATCAACAACACTCACAGTCATGAGAAAGGAGACACAGACCATCTTTTCCCCTCCCCCTTTCCCAGGGTACCCCCTCCCTCTGGAAATTGATTTCCCTTTGGGATATATTTTATTTCACATTCATGAATTCACTGAGGCCTTTGTAGCCAGATTCCCCCTCCCGCTATTATTCTGGTGGTGGGCTGGGACAGAGAATCCCTCAGGATGGCACCACACTTTGGTCCGTGGTCTAAACCAGTAAACCCTCTGGGCACTAGCAGTTGCTGACTCACCTCTTTGGCAGTGGCAGGAGTTTCCAGTTCTGCCACTGAGACTGGGGAGTGTTCTATTGTGGAGCTAGACAGTCATAGCAGTCCTTGTCCGCAACTGGTGCTGGTGTCCCGTTTGCAGACCTAAAGGATTTTCTTAGGGGTGGCAAATCTCTGCTGTGTTGTAAGGCCAGGGTTAACTACAGGCCTGTTTGGATCGTTTCTCACACTATAACTTGATCAGAACATGAGCAAGCTTGTTGTCCAGTTCATTCCTGGAGACTCTTGGGATACAGGAATCCTCACTACCCATAACCCTCTGATACTCCTCCCCAGCCAAGTTCTGACATTTTCTTTGACAGTCTGTGGTTTGTAACTGCTCTTCTGGTGTCAGTTTCTGACGTGGAAATAACCTGCTTGCCCAGAACAGGAACTCGCTCAAGTTAGCTTAAAGAAATGGGGATCTGTATAGATTGGATTTTCACAATTGCACAATTGCAGAGAGTGGAAAAGTAATCATGCCACCACTTTCTCCACCTCTGGGGTTGCAGAATCAACTCCTGTGCTGCTTCTCTGTGCTTGTCTGATCCCTGGGACCGCATTCTGGCATCCTCTAAAAGACACTTGGCTTCTATAAAGCACACAGTTCTGCTCCCTGACAACCAGGACCAGGGCTTGGCTGTGGCCTTGGCCCCAACTCCAAATAACCCACTGTTTTCTTACCCAACACCACCCTGACTATGGAATCTGCCTCTCAGTTCAGATTCTCTAGTGTGAGAACCTGTTTGGCTCAGGATAGGTCTGGTGTCCCCTCCTGCTCCAATCATATACAGCCTAGTGGGAACAGGGGTGTGTTGCCATATACATGGCTGCTCAGGCCCACCAGGTACTAGGGTTGGGGAGGGAGACATATACTAAGAAGCTACGGTGCTTCTGGGGTGTGGAATGCTAGTGCTCTGGAACACAAAGGGGGTCATCAAAATAAGTCTCTCCTTGTCAATCTATACCACCTCCAGTTCCTACCCACCTCCCTTCCACTCCCTTAGCCCCATTTTCCCATTCATGCCCTCCCCCTACTCTACCCAGTTCCCTCCCTTACCCTCCCACTTTGAAAATTGATTTCCCATTGGTTTGTGTTTTTGTTATATTTCACATTTCTAAATTTACTGAGGGCTTTGCAGCCAGATTCCCCTCCCACAGCGGAAGCAAATTTCCCTCCGTGAAAAATTCACAGCTTTACACCAAGGACAGTCCCAATCCCCAGGCCTTCGAAATATGGGAGGTCTTCTCTGCTGATAGGGTTCGGAGTCTCTCCTGTCTCTTTGGGATTCTTGAGGGTCTGTTCCCTGGGACCCCACATCAGAACACAAGCTAACATCAGAGGGCTTCCTGTTGGGAGATGTCGGAGATGGAGCTCCTGCTGTGCATGTTGCTTCTGGTGGGGATGGTGTGGGCACAGGTGGGAAGGGGGATGCGGGGCATGAGTAGGAGTATGTGAATGAGGCAGGGAGCTGGACAGGAAGGGGTGATGGTGAGACTATGGACCCAGGCTTGAGGGTCCCAGAGAAATAAAACATGGTGATTTCCACTGACCTGAGATCTCCCTCCCTCTGGCCACCAGCGGTGTAATTTTTCTGCTCCACGGCTCCGACCAGGTGCAGGAGGCCTCTGCCCAGCTCCTTTGTGGCTTCAGCCCCCAGTGCATACTTCTGGCTTCTTCTTCCTTTTCCTGTGGCACCAGCAGGAGCAGCTTGGGACTCTACCTCCTCGCGTGTTTCTTCTGTCCCAGCCCCACTGGCAGTGGCCGGGCCTGGCCCCTCTGAGGCCTGGCCCTGCTCCCCGGTAGACCCCAGCTGTTGGAGAGAAGAGGGCAGGGTTGAGACCCAGTCTGAGCAGGGAGAGGGCAGGGCGATGGGGTGGGGACCAAGTAGAGATAATCTTACAACCTGGAAGAGCTTCCACTTCAGGAGGTCCCGTTCCTTCTGCATCTCTGCCAGGTTTGCTTGTGTCTGCCGCAGCCGGAATGCTGCCTCCTTGCGCTCCATCTCCTGCCGCGCTGTGTGCTCCTTTAGGTCTGAGGCCAAGGCCTGTGCAGCGGACTTATGCAGTTTCGCAAAATCGTGCAGCCACTGTACCCTGTGCTTGTGTAACTGGCCCTGCCTGCGCGCGAAACGCACGCCCAGGGCAAGGCTGCTCCAGGCACAGGCGTCTTTGACCTCGCTGGGCACTGTGCTGTCCTCTAGGATGTCCCCGAGCTTGTTCTCCACCTCCTCCCAGGACAGGGCTATATTCTCGAGATAGAACTCAGGGCCTTTTGTGTGCCCGGCCATCTTCTCATTGATGAAGGCCACCACATTATTGTGCTGGAACCCACTGCTGGCATCATCGGGTTTCAAGGACATGACTACTGAGCCCCTTAGGGATTTGGCTGTCCCTGTGGGAAGAATCAACCAGTTGTCCACTCTGCAGGGGCCCTCCCCATCCTTCACACCTTCCCGCCTCCCTGCCCCCATCTCCCCCCATGCTCGCCGCCTACCCCCTGCCCCATCGCCATCCCCTGCCCCCTCACCCTTGCGCCCTGCTTCCCTCGCCTCCCGCTTCCCCCCTGCCCTCCCACTTTCCCACCTCCAGCCCTTCCCAGCCCTCCCCCCCGTGCCCCCTTCCCAACAGGCTGCCCCCAGTCTCCTCCTACCTGCTGCCCTGCCCTTTCCTCTCCGGCCTCAGACCCTCTTAAAGGCCCCCTGACTGGCTTGTCCCACCCTAGTACACCTCCCACCAGATCTCACTTCTAAAGTAGGGATGGGGGTTTGGGGGGTGGGGGGGCAGAGAGGGTGCTGGCTAACCACGCCTACTGACTAAACCCAAAGTGAAAGCACACGATTCCCTCCAAAGACTCCAGGGGGAGAAAAGGAAGTCTTGGGGCCAACCCTCGAGGCTTTTACTCTAGGACTGTTCCAACTTCCGGAGATAGTGGGGGTGGGAGGGAATTTATGAGGAAGGTTCCTCCCAAACTCCAGGACAAAAGAGAACCTGCTACATTGCTGAAAGTCGTCGAAGGTGGGAAACAACAGCAGTGGTTAGAAAAGATTTAAAATCTGAAACATGAAGTACTCATAATTAAGTACAGGAAGTTCCGCCCCTCTCCATAATGGTTTGTCCCATGCCAGGGGGCCCTTGCCTCCTAGAGATGGAATGTTCTAGAACTCGAAGCAGCTCCAATCCTTCACTGGCTTTCCGTAACCCTCGGAGGAAGTGGGTGGAGCCTGGGAACAGCTTCGTCACCCATTGGCTCAGCACTGAATATTATAGTCACCCTAAACAATCTTAAATTCTGGCCATTTTACCCCGAAAGCATGTCTCAAATCTGTCCACCTTCACACGCCCTCCATCCTAATACAGCTTCCCCTGGCGTATATATCCCCTGGACCACTGCAGTGCTCTGATAACCTAGTCTGTCTCCTGCCTACCCTAACATCAGAGGGATCTGAGCATGTCAGTTTAAACCTCCAATGGCTTTCTGAAGACTACTGGAAAAACCAGACAGACTTAAGATTTAGTCCTACTTTGCCACTTACTAGATGACCTTCTACTATATAATTGAATATTAGTTTCTACCTATGGGCCTGCCATGAGGACTGAATGACAAAGTGCATGTAAAGTTGATGTAATGTTTTCTATGATTGCATTTTTGTAAAAAATACAAATTCTCTGTGGGTGTGTGTGTTTCTATGCTCTTGAAGTGAGGAGGGGGAGAGTATACACTAGATTCTTAACATTGGTTATCTCTGGGAGGTGGAATTGGAGAGGAGTTTGGAAAAAAATTTTCTTTTTAAAATACATCTTTCTAGGGCGCCTGGGTGGCTCAGTTGGTCAAGCAGCTGCTTTCAGCTCAGGTCATGATCCGGGAGTCCTGGGATGGAGTCCCACATGGGGCTCCCATCTCCACGGGGAGTCTGCTTCTTCTTCTGACCTTCTCGCCTCTCATGCTCTCTCACGGTCTCTCTCTCTCAAATAAATAAATAAAATCTTAAAATAAAATAAAATACATCTTTCTATGATTTCATTTGTTACAAAGAACATTTACTTCTATATGCATGCATGCATTAAAAATCTGGAAAGTCACATACCAAAATGTTAACAGTGGTTATTTTGGGATGGTAGGAATATAGTACTTTAAAAAACTTTGTATTTTTCTCTATTGTAGAAATTATTTATAATAATCATGTGTTTTTTTAAAAAGTTTAAACTATTTTTTATAACTTGTGATCAGTGTAAATAATTTTTAAATATCTATAATGTGAATGTGTCCCTATAATTTCACTGTTCCATAACCTAGAAGATAACTAATATTAATAGTTTGAGATCTATATATATTAATATATA